ACATTAAAATAAACTTTCTTTTGTTGACAGACCAAACTAAAACCGGTTGCAAATTTGGTCGCACATAAATATTGATACCTGTCTACACTTATCACAAGCTGAGAAGGCTACAGTTAGTCTTTTATGATTTATTAAGCATTATAAGCTCAATCGTAAATATATCAATGTTCTTGTTTGTCAGAATGATCGCAAAAATTCTAATCTACGCCTCAGAAGTTTGACGATATCAACATGTAATGTGTTTTCAAGGGTACAGTTATAGGGAGGTAGATCTACCCGTAATTTCTACAGTATGTTATGAAAATGCATATCCTACTCGATAAAATTGTTGTCCATGCAACGCCATAGGTACCCCAAAATTTAATAAAATATGTTGCCGGAAGGCAAACAAGGGTCGGATTTGATAGAAATATTTAGTTTGAACATGGTTCGTTTGGTTATAACAGGGTTTCGGGAAGACGCAAATACGTTTAGTTTCCTTGCTCAACGATTGAAAGATGTATCAAGTCAACATTGGCTTTGTATTATGTCTGAGAAAGTAAATATGTTTTTTCATGAACAGTGTAAATGTGTGTTACAACCAGAACAGTAGCGAGTATATATCAAGAGTCAGTTTAGTTTGTTTGTTTGTTGTTTAACATCACACTCCGCAATATTCCAGCTATCATGACGGTGGTCTGCAAATAATCGAGTCTGGACCAGACAATCCAGTGATTGACATTATGAGCATCATCCACGCCATTAGAATATGATGACATGCATCAACCAAGTCAGCGAGCCTGACCATCCCGTTAGTCGCCTTTTTAAGAGTCAGTAAGAAATGTAAATTCCGTTGTGAAAATCTTAATTTGCATATTGAGTCTAGACGAAGAGAAAATTCTTTGTACGAAGGAAGATTATGTTTATGTTGTAACAATGTTTGTTTAAATATAGAGGAAGAACATTTTTTGTTGATCTGGCTTTTGTATGATAATTTGAGGAGTCAGTATTTAAGCTTTGTGAAAAGACATTTTAACGTCATCATGAAAATTTGTGATAACCAACATGCATGGAAACAAGGTGCATACACATTTTATGGTTTTAATGTGAGAAAGCAATAAATTGAAAAACACTATGATATGAATTAATAGCATTTGTTGATAATGCATATTGATAGTAATGCATTGAATGTACAAAGGTGGGCCTTTCATCAAAATATTGTTTGTGAAACGTTTGTGAATTATGGGCTTGCTGGCCAAAATTTCCGAAATAATAAAAAAAGGTATTAAAAGTACATTTGTTTGTTTTGAAACAATCTTTGAGTATATGTTCTATGTGCAAATGATTGCTAGAAGTCAGTACATTTGATGAGCCTTGACCGCCATTGGTAATTGGTCAACAGTCAAATAACACAAACACCATGAGGTGTATGCGGGGATCAAAGACTAATTTACATGTTAGATAGGGCCACTCATTTTTTTATCACTCTATTGTTTATGTAGAACGATGTTATCATACTTTATGATTTGTCATGATACTACAAGTGTAAGGTTTTCTATCGATATTGTGTTGGAACAGTTTGGCTAATCTTCGTGCATTTTCAACCTCTCTGCCTTCTTTTGATGTCATAATGAAAACTCGATTCCGCTCATTCACAAGTCACCTTTTGTATCGAATATGTTACATTATAAATACCCTTACAAATGTATTTGATATATCACAATGTCATTAAAATATTAGGCAGTATTTTCTTCGTTTATACATGTAGTTTACATGAAGCTGCCAAATAAACATTTCGTCGTACAGTACTTGTATCGATGTTCGATTAAAAGTGTTGAAAGTTGCTGTGTTTTCACGCAGAACGAAATATCAGTCTGTTTTTCAGATCAATCTTATATTTGGCAATTATTGAACACACTCTGATAGGAAATGTAATAATCTAATTGTATAGTTAAACGTTTACCTTTTCATCTCTTATTAAAATATGCAACAGAAAAATAACTCGGCATCCAGCGTGTTAAGCTGCAACTACATGTGGCTAGTGATATCAATGATGTGCCACATGACGTTAATTGAACTCTACAATTATTTTCAGATTCAGGAGACACACGTGCAAGACACAGTAATGACAGTAACACGGTAAGGCAATAACAATAGACAGGTGAAGATCTGCAGCTCGAACAAACTTTAAATGTGAATAATATAAACGAAACGCAATCTATATCTTCAGCACAACTTGCTTCCGTATAATTGTTATATAAATATATGTAAATAGTTTGGATTTTTGTCCTCACAGGTGAGACTTGAAGAGCAGGATAACATTCCAAGCTTTGACGGAGCAGGATGTTCAACAGACATACCTCAAGGTGCGAACGTTTCCATCATAAGTGTTTTGATAATAAATCATCTTAACAAGTTCAGAAGATACTTGTCACTGTAGATATACCACATACCACTCATAATTAGGATTCAGTATTTACAACTGGAAAATCCAATCTTGGCAGCTGAAAAAGGTTTACGTTAGACTCAGATACTCTGAAGCAGCATAGGTCAGATCTAACCTTCCTTCTAAATCCCAAGTAATGGGCTGAGTTGTATTCTGTCAAATAATCCAATGCCCACAGACAAACTCAAACTGCTGCATATGTTGCCAATTGGCGCTGAATGTGTCGTCGACCACAGAAAAGTATCTAGGTTATTTAGCAAATTTAAAGATATCGGATCAGTATTTGAAATTGGCAAAAGGGTAAGTTTGCGGAAGAAGTCCAAAATCTGAAATACATATTTTCTGTTGCGGTAAAGCGGTAATCAGAACGATCATGGTCTAAGATATATATTCAATACTTCTGGACTTCAGGAATCTCCTTTGTCATGTTAGAATATTACTGTAATGTTTCACGGAATTACTATTTTTTTATCAGGTCGCATCGTCAGACTTGAGGAAGAAAACATTCAACTGAAAAAGGTAACTGTTGATCAGAAATAAAATGTTTAGGTGATGTGTGGTAAAATAAGGTTTAACGTTGCGTTCAAGATTATTTCAATCATATAGCGACGTAAATGATTGTGTGTGTGGATGCTTGTACTAGTCCGGACTTAAGTCGTGTGTCGAGACAATACCAATCACCAGGCAGGGCAACAGGTATCATCTTTCCACGTGTATTGGTAGCACGCTGGCAGGGTCTATACCATCAACCATCCGTTCTCCAGTCAGATGCTGTATCCACTATCCCATGGAGGCAGTAATAAAACGTTAAAGAAATGGTGTTGAGTACTGTACATCTTAATAATTAATTTTGAGCCTGGAATGAATCAATGATCAATACCAGACACCCATCACTGCTCTTGATGCGCTGAAGGTACGGTGTACTTTTATTGTCCGTCCTTCAGGACGCAGAATGTTTTTTCATGCGTCCATTCTCTACATTTGTGCGTCGCGTAACCCTGTAATAACAATCTTTTAAAGAAAATAAAGATAATATTTCGAACAAATAAGATCAACCTCCAAAAAATGAATTCAATATTTTGAAAGAAATATTTTAGTTCCTGTGAACCAAGATGATGATAACTTAATCCACCCATTAAAGTAAATAACAGGCCCCTGGTTCTGATACTGTCATAGCCGACTGATAAGTCAACAAAACATATTTCCATATTTCTTCTCAATCAATATGCTAAATTCTTAAGATCATATTTTCCTGAAAGGTGATTACAGAGCAATACCTCTTCTTTGAAAATTATTAGTTTTATTATCAAATAGAGATGGGCTGATTTTTTGTACAATATACGGGGCGACCATTGGAATTTCTACTATGACCTTGGGATTTGGTTTTAATAAGTAGTTTCTTGTGTTCGAAAAATGTGTTCTTGGGATTTACAGAAAAACGTCTTGTACTGGATGTGTTTGATCTTCTGCATAAAATGTGTTGTTTGTAAAAATAATTTTTTGGCTTCTTTCCATCATGGATGTTACCCCCTTTTCTACATTTCATACATTGATATTTACTCTTGATTTTGCACTGTTTGCATCCGTAGAGAATAGAGGAGCTGGAGTTCTTCGACCGGCTGTCCCTTGCTACTGAGGACAGCGGCTTTGACAGTGAAACAAGCAGTCTGGCATCCTTGGACTTGGGTCAAATACCTCACAGACGTCAACAGGATAAAATAGGCCATGGTGGCGGGATAAAAGACTTTTCAAAAAAGAGGCTTTTCAATCCTAGACCGCCAAACCAGAAAGGTTAGTGAATGTTTGAGGTTAATTTACCACGGTTTGTATCCCTATTTAAGAGATATAAAGACAGGAGAACCCCAAACTACTACACATGCGGAATGGTGATGCTTCCTGCGCCTTTAGTTTACTAGAAGGCCTTTCATTTCATGGAGAGCTGTATGTTTTTATCTAACCGACAACATAGTACTTATTGATTCTTAATGATGGTAGTGGCACAACACTGGACTGGACTATGACCTTGTGTTGATAATGCTGAGGAGGGGACATGGGCATGACTTATACTAAATAGGCTTTAATATGTCATGTAGAACTTTACTGTGATACGAAGGGGGAGCTTATTCCTAGGATGGTGGTGAGATGAACACTGGGAAATACCGACTACACTGGCAGCTTATCTATTTTCGTTTTTGCATTGCAGGAGAAGTGTTCCGCCTAGCTTCAGTCTTGCATGTTGGAAATGAAGGCGAGCAACAGATGCCAAATGCTACACAGATGGTGGCTGAACCAGTTCATGGTAGAGATGGGAAACAAATAACTAAATGGACATTCAAAATCATGTATAATTTAGCTTCACTTGATAGGGGGAGGTAATCTTCACTATTTAGATTGACAGTGACAGGAGTCAAAGTACTTTATTGGGAGCAGTGGCCCAGTGTGAGGTAAGATGTCCGCGGGTAACATTGGACCTTCTTACTAAGTGGGCAGCTGATGGACAGGGGAGACGTGAAAAAGGCGAAGGGCGCTGAGGTTGCACTTGGATCTAAATGTATATGGCTGGGTAATAAAGTTTAGTTTGTAAATGGATTGTTAATTCGTATCTGACTTTGATGTTATTCCCTGTTGTGACTTACTAATCCTTTTGTTTTAGTGACAGAGAACCCCCAACGTGCAGATACAGACCTCTATCTTGCCTGCATGAAGGGAGACCTGGACCAGCGTAGACGCATCTTATCTAAGTGTCTGGTAGACGTGATGATTGCAGCAGAGACGGGACACAGACAAGTGTTTGACTTACTTGTGACACAAGCAGCTGATGTATTATCAGTGGATCAGAACATAAATAACATCCTTCATGTAGCCTGTCTTGGGGGACATGTGGACATGGTGAAGTATGTCCTCTCAAGGAAGGTTGCAGAGATCAACGGTAGGGGGCAGTACGGGAGGACACCCGTGATGTCGGCAGCAGAGAAGGGACACAGACAAGTGTTTGACTTACTTGTGACACAAGGAGCTGATGTATCTTTAGTGGATGATGACGGAGACAACATCCTCCATGTGGCATGTCTTGGAGGACATGTGGACATGGTGAAGTATGTCCTCTCACGGAAGGTTGCAGACATCAACAGTAGGGGGCAGTACGGGAGGACACCCCTAATGGTGGCAGCAGAGAAGGGACACAGACAAGTGTTTGACTTACTTGTGACACAAGGAGCTGATGTATCATTAGTGGGTGATAACAGAAACAACATCCTTCATGTAGCCTGTCTTTGGGGACATGTGGACATGGTGAAGTATGTCCTCTCACAGAAGGTTGCAGACGTCAACAGTAGGGGGCAGTACGAGAGGACATCCCTGATGGTGGCAGTCGGCGCGGGACACAGACAAGTGTTTGACTTACTTGTGGGAGAAGGAGCTAATGTATCATTAGTGGATTATGACAGAAACAACATCCTTCATGTAGCCTGTCTTGGGGGATATGTGGACATGGTGAAGTATGTCCTCTCACAGAAGGTTGCAGACATCAACAGTAAGGGGCAGTTCGGGAGGACACCCGTGATGATGGCAGTCGGCGCGGGACACAGACAAGTGTTTGACTTACTTGTGACACAAGGAGCTGATGTATCATTAGTGGATGATGACGGAGACAACATCCTCCATGTGGCCTGTCTTGGAGGACATTTGGACATGGTGAAGTATGTCCGCTCACAGAAGGTTGCAGACATCAACGGTAGGGGGAAGTTCGGATGGACACCCCTAATGGTGGCAGCAGAGAAGGGACACAGACAAGTGTTTGACTTACTTGTGACACAAGGAGCTGATGTATCATTAGTGGATGATAACAGAAACAACATCCTTCATGTGGCATGTCTTGGAGGACAAGTGGACATGGTGAAGTATGTCCTCTCACAGAAGGTGGCAGACATCAATAGCGGGGGGAAGTACGGGCGGACACCCCTAATGGTGGCAGCAGAGAAGGGAAACCGACAAGTGTTTGACTTACTTGTCAGTGAAGGAACTGATGTATCATTACTTGGTGATAACAGAAACAACATCCTTCATGTAGCCTGTCTTGGGGGATATGTGGACATGGTGAAGTATGTCCTCTCACAGAAGGTTGCAGACATCAACAGTAGGGGGCAGTTCGGGAGGACACCCGTGATGATGGCAGTCGGCGCGGGACACAGACAAGTGTTTGACTTACTTGTGACACAAGGAGCTGATGTATCATTAGTAGATGATGACGGAGACAACATCCTCCATGTGGCCTGTCTTGGAGGACATTTGGACATGGTGAAGTATGTCCGCTCACAGAAGGTTGCAGACATCAACGGTAGGGGGAAGTTCGGATGGACACCCCTAATGGTGGCAGCAGAGAAGGGACACAGACAAGTGTTTGACTTACTTGTGAAAGAAGGAGCTGATGTATCATTAGTGGATGATAACAGAAACAACATCCTTCATGTGGCATGTCTTGGAGGACAAGTGGACATGGTGAAGTATGTCCTCTCACAGAAGGTGGCAGACATCAATAGCGGGGGGAAGTACGGGCGGACACCCCTAATGGTGGCAGCAGAGAAGGGAAACCGACAAGTGTTTGACTTACTTGTCAGTGAAGGAACTGATGTATCATTACTTGGTGATAACAGAAACAACATCCTTCATGTTGCCTGTCTCGGAGGACATGTGGACATGGTGAAGTATGTTCTGTCACAGAAGGTTGCAGACATCAACAGTAAGGGGCAGTACGGGCGGACACCCCTGATGTTGACAGTCGGGGCGGGAAACAGACAAGTGTTTGACTTACTTGTGAGGGAAGGAGCTGATGTATCATTAGTGGATGATAACAGAAACAACATCCTTCAATTAGCCTGTCTTGGAGGACATGCAGACATGGTGAAGCATGTCAATGCACTGAACGTGGTGGACATCGACGACAGAAATAAGCATAATACACAGTTTTTGGATCTCTTGCTTGCAACACAGGGCAGCAGTCATGTCTGACAGGGAAGAATAAATCATGACAAAGTACCAGTTTGTGTGTGTTTGATTTCCTATCAAGAATAAAGATCTTTCATTTATACCTCGTCACATTGAATTTCGAATCTTTGTTTTGGTGACATGATTTTGTGACAGATAGCATCGTAATAAGAAAGGACCAAGTATTACTTATTTTGTAACTGGGTTTATCCTTGAATGAAGTAGCATGTTTTTGTTATATACATGTGGAACAAATTCAAACTTCATGTCAGGTGCGTTTCTTTTTCTTGAAATATGACAGCCAATTAATAGAAAAAATGTTTTATTATGTTTTAATAAAATAATATTTTTAGTTTGGTTCAATATTAAGCACATTCTACAATCAAATAAATATACTCTTAAAAAAAGAAACGCAAAGACAGATTTGTGTGAGGTAGGAAAATACATTTATACGAGGAACCGTAGAAGGTATTGAGCCAGAATGTTGTGGAGAGAACGCTTTGTGATTGTAGTCATCTCAGTTATCGGTACATAGGAGAAGTCCAAAGTCAGCTACAATCAATCACGCGTGTGACCCCGTTTGAATCGATAGCGGCCTGACATCATCTGCCCATGGTAGAGATAATAATGCGAATAACATCCTGACCTGCAACGCAAAAGCCAACTGCTGCAACGTCTGGGGTTGTTGTTGACGTCGGCATAGCCGTCTATCCAATTCATCCCGTAGGTGCTCTATCGGGTTCAAATCCGGGGATCTGGAGGGCCAGGGTTGAACATCAATGTTGTAGTTGTGTAGACAGACTCTTGTGTTCCGTGCTGTATGGGGTAGACCGTTTTCTTACTGGAATACACCGTTGCCCTCAGCTTCAATTGAGAGGACGTGTGGTAGGAGAATTTCGGTGATGTATCGTTGAGCCGTAAGATTGCCCTGGATATGGACCAAAACTGTACTCCCATGATAAAATATCCACCCGCGTCATAACGCTACCCCCACCAAAACTGTCCACTTCCTGTACGCAGTTTCTGGCGTAACGTTCTCCCCGACGTCTGCAGACCCGTGCTCTTCCATCCACTTGACGGAGGAGAAATCATGATTCGTCGCTGAACCAGACATATCGCCATCGCTGTTGAGGCCATCCCCTGTGTTGACAACACCAATGCAGTCGTAGTTGACGATGTTGTCGACTCAATATGACGCGTCGAACAGGACGTCTTGCTCGTAAACCTGCTGCTCTTAAACGTTTTCGTACGGGCTGGTCGGAGATTCTGCGCAGGCCGGGTATTTGGGATGCGGTTGATGTGGCTGTGGTCGTCCTTTCACGTAGGTGGCGCAGTCGGATGTAGCGATCTTGGGCGGGGGTGGCTACTCCTGGTCGTCCCGACCTTGGCCGATTACGTGTTGACCCATGCTGTTTAAACCGATCCCATAGCCTTTGGATGGTGCTGGGCGCTACATTGGAAACCCTGGCTGCAAGCGGTATGTGACGTTGTTTCTTTTCACTTCTGTTAATCTTGGCATGTTATTGATCTGTCACTGTTTGATTAACGCAGATTTCAGGCAATCAAAAACCCTGCACTTTAATACCGTTCATAGTGCTGCTGCACGTGCAGTACCTGCAGCTCCATGGCCCTTTCGTTGCTGCACTGGGTGCATTTTCCCGAATCGTACGTGTTTCCCGACTAATGGATCATTATTGTTGTGATCATTTTGATCCGCATAACACATTAACACTCTTTATTTTGCACCACTTGGTCCACTAATTATGCTTTTATGGCTACAAATATCCGAATTGCGTTTCTTTTTTTAAAGAGTAATTTGTATTTATATACGGGAAGATATGTTCATAGCTCGTACATTGTATTAGCATCCTTTAAGAGGTTCAACATGATGTTGATATCTCATTTAAGAAATATAAGGTTTTTTAGCGTGTGCTTATCTCCGCTGCATGAGTGATAGGCACGCTCACTTTGGCTTCTGTGTACAGGTGCATCTGGTGCTGATGAAATGATGTGAAATTACATTGTGATTAGATGTTGCGTTCAGATGCAACGCTACGGTATTGTAAATGTGCACCTCACCGATAGCTTCATTCAGACCATTGGTTCCCTTATTCTTGTTGGTAGTTATAATATAATAATGCCAGAAATCAGTTGCATGAGGTACATATTTATCTTTAAATATTATCATGGTCAAGAATTATGTTATTTATCTGACATCTGTGTCAACTTTACACGGCATTATTTTTTGTTTGATATCATAATGTTAGTATATTGATGCGATTTTATTTACAGAATCGCCGTGAAAAGTGAGTGAGTGTGTGAGATTGGTTTTACGCCGCTTTTAGCAATATCGGGGGCACGGGTGGCCCAGTCGTCGAAGGCGCCGCGTTTCGCTGTGCAGAGTTGCTTCCCTTGGCCAAGCCAGAAACATATGATTGTGGGTTCGAATCCCGGTTCGCCCCAATTATGTTTCTAGGTTTGTCAGCACCATACCCGTGCCCGTGGGTTTCACCGAAGTGGTAAACGTCTGTGACCTGCATCACTTCGGGCTTTCCTCCCACATTAAGCTGACACGCCGCGATATAACTGGAATATTGTTAAAAGCGGCGTTAAACCAAACTCACTCACTCACTCAATTTTAGCAATATCACGGCGGGGGACACGAGAAATGGGCTTCACGCATTGTACCCATGTCGGGAGTCGAACCCGGATGTTCGACGTGACGAGCGAACACTTTAACCACTAGGCTACCCGACCGCCCCTCGGCGTGAACAATATTTCGATTGTATTACGTCATGTCGGTTAGACAAAACCTGAAAGACATTTAATACCACGAGCATGAGCTAGGTGATGGCATTCCAGCATTTGATCCTCAGTTTCTTGCAAACCTGTTGGACGTTACTCTGCCCAGTGACCACGACCACGACGACGGGGCCAATCGTGCCCCTCGTGGACTTGAAGAGTTGTTCTTGAGAAGCAGGTCTGTGATTGGCAGAGCCCAGGACGACAGGGTTCCCCATGCCCCATTGGTTGTGTCCCTTGGGTGACAAAGCAATTGATGACAGGGGAGTTCCTTACGTAATACGTCTAAAACCTGCGTCACATCTGACATTCGCACGCAACAGAAATACTGTTGAAAACAGCGTTATACCGAATATACCCAACTATTATCAATACTATTCTAATTGCAGTTATTAATCTGATTTTGTTTGAATTGAATATTGAATACGCCAGAATATTGTCAGTTGTCCTGACAAATTTCATAAGCAGAACATATGATTAAAGTATGTTGCACTATTTGCAACACATGGTCCTATCTGAAGCGACGATACTATACTTATAATGTTCGTATTGGTAAATAAACAGACCCATCTACATTTTATATTGAGAGGTTTTAAGGTGTTTTTTTCAAAATTTGTTTTTAAACTAAATTGTGCTTTGACATTTCAGAGATATCATATCATATACATCTCTTATTGTTTTTACACATTGATATGACATGGCGATGGGAAAGATCGTACTCAAGATCTCAGCCTAAAAGGTTTGTTTGCTACTTAACTTGAGGAGGATGTACTTAAGGTCAGTGAAATGTACCAGTGAGGAGGAGTGAGGGTCGACAAGGTCGTCAAAGTACAAAATATGTATGTCATTTCCAATAAAATGTCCTCTGATTTTTAAAAAATCTTAAGCATACATGTATAGTGACAATAAACCATATTGATACTAGAAAACCGTGACACACCTCTTTTCCGTGTGACTGTATTATAAACTACATAAGTGTAATATTCGTTCGACGCTACGTTCAGCCTTATTTTACCTCACCTCTCAATATGATCAGCTCAGTAAATAATGTAATTCATTTTGAAAATATAAGCCACGTTTAACGTGTTTGTGCTACAAACCCAAGGAACAGCAGTACCTAATCCTATTGGAATACATGTACTAAGTTTGATCTCGTTCAACGTGTTCTTTACTTTCAAGTTTTCCGCACCATATGTTAGGATAGGTTGCACCATAACAATCTCTAGCAATATCTATATCCAGCCCACCACATAGATTATGGAGTTTAAAGATCAGCTGGCAAACCTTCTCCGCTTGTTCGGATAATGTTGAACGTGCACTTATCCATAGGTATAAACACAATTTCAAGATATTTGTACCAAGACACAACCTTTATTCCCTTAGGATACCCCTAGTACCACATTGTTTCTTCAATTATTCTCCATTCAGAAACACAACGATCTGAGATTTATTAATGTTTTAAAGAAAGACGCCTTCTGTTACAAAATAATTAATTGATCAATTAATGAATCAATGTTTATATTTTCATGGCGAACTGACCTATGCATGTAGTCTGTACAACCATAATAGTACAATTGTATAACATATGCGCATTTATATCTCGCACCACAAATGTTTAGCACATTATATATGTATACCCATTTAACACAATAACACAATAACCATGGATAAAGAAGTCGAACTGTTTCTGCAGGGTGACGGGTGTATCTGCAATCAATATTAGATTATCTACAAATAGGAGTGAAAAAGAATTATACATAATATCAAATATGACAATTCCATTATTCACAACGGCATTCATAGATTTAACCAGTTCTCTGATAGATATTACGAAAAGGATAGAGCTAAGTGTACACCCTGGTCTGACACAAGTAGGACAATCGAATCGTCAGATAGTTTTCTTTCCTGCTAAAAAATAACAACAGATGTAACATTTTCAAGTTTGAAGCACATTAAACTTTCTCTATGTTTATCGTTCTTCAAAAGTGAGTGAGTGAGTAAGGTTTTACTCAGCTTTTAGCAATATTCCAGCAATATCAAGGCGGAGACACCAGAAATGAGCTTCACACATTGTTCCCATGTCGGGAATCAAACCCGGGTCTTCGGCGTGACGAGCAAACGCTTTAACCACTAGGCTACCCGACCGTCCTTCTTCACAAAGAAGACAACGTAACGTCCTATTAACCATGTCAAACGGTTTTTTTAAAAACTACAAAAGCGCAGTAACTTGTACTTTTCTTCCGAGTGGTGTCCGAGTGGTGACTGTAATATAAGAGTATTATCCTAGTAGAGTGGTCGTTCCTAAAACCTACGTCCCAACTATCGATTGAGAGGTGATGTACCTCAGACTGCTCACCGTGAATGCAAAAAAGAAGGTACCTTTCAAGAGAGTTCTGTCTTTTGAAAATATTCCATTGGCATTAAGCCTATCTGTAGAGGATGGTACCATGATGTCCTGTGCCAAGTCAGATTTCATGCACAAGAACCCATATCGGGTGAGAAGGT